TTGACTCTGCCATCATCAAATCGGAATGACCTGAAACCTGACATCGTGGTCAGAAAGGAACACAACCATATATCAGCATAAGTCAATTTATCAGAAATCTGTAACATCTGCAGAATTGGGAACGAATTACTCCTGTTAAAGCCCACTTCTGGCGACGGCGGTCTGCGAATATTGGCGTGCAAATATGCAGATTAGTGATATTGTCACTAGTGACAAGAGAATCTTTCTCCAATAAAATGATCCGTTGGCAGCATTATAGTAGTGTTTCGCGGCGCTGATGAACATCCGAGTAACTGGTTGCGGTACAATAAGAGAATCTTTCTCCAACGAGAGATAGCATAGCAATGTTTTCAGACGCTGATAATTATGTAGTAGCTGAGGTCAAAACCCCTACCTTTACTTTAGTTTCAAAAATATCACTACTTCCAGTCAATTTAAACGCAATGTTTCAATGGGGGAAGCATGTTAAATACAAGTACTTTAAATACAATTGTCAATCAATTTTTAATTATTATATTGTTACATCTAATCTCTTAAAGATTATATGCTATAAGATTATTGTCTCTCTATAATTTGAATAAGTGTTATTGAATTTTTTTATTTCAGTATTTGCAATTTTCGTTTAAGAAAGTATCATCGAGTTAAATAGTGTCGTGGTAATATCAAAATTTAGAACATGTATGGTTTATTTTAGTTTTGGTTAAAAGCAGGTTTTTTCTATTGCCCATTTAGATCCATTAACCAGATCCTTCGAACCGAAAAAAAATAATTGACTATACGTCAGTTCAACAGCTTCTAAGGATTGGCACAGGCTTTGTAAAACACGATAAATTATATCATTACAAATATATAACAAAAATGTCATACGAAAACGGTAGATCAAACCAGTTTTTTACTATCGATAAAGCCCGGTATAATATAGTCTTTTCAAAGTAATATATTTTGTCAAAGTAATCTGTACGATTAGCATATAACTACTATGTAAAGTCTTTTAATGACAGAAAGTACACCCATAAAAAGAAAAGCGATATATTGATTAATAACTCTCAAACGTTTATTTTAATGT